AAACCTTTGTAAAAATTGTTGGTATTCTAATGCGTATATTCATCCCTTCCATAGGTTCATGGAAAAGAATTTGATAGCACGGAGAATAGCCGATAGAATCCATATATTCGATACACTTTTTTATTACAACCTCACTCATAGAGCTCGAGAATCAAAGGCTCAAACTCAAAACAATGAACCGTACGTGTTAGTGTCGATTTACCATTTGTCGAGTGTTTTTCTTCTGTCATCTTTTCAACATAAATCATCTGATATTTGAATTTCTATTTTTTTCGTCCCTTTTTATCTGATGTCTCAAAATTATCCAGACTTTCTGATAGATGCTACAATAGGGTCAAGAAATACACTAAAGGTACAAATATCTTCGAGAAAGACTTTATAATTATCCCAATTAATAAAAACGGCCATTGGTTTGCTGCAGTCATTTGCTATCCAAGTAGAGATGAATTTATTGAAGTGATTGGAAAATATCCCAAAAGGTATTGAATCAATTTCATTTAATCTTAAATTTAACTCAGATCCTCTTGAAATTTCGTCTCTCTCTTTCTCTAGATCTTGTATATGTTTCATGGACTCGACGCAAAGTGCTCATAGTAGATGTGGATTAGCCGCACCATTACGACACTTTCTAGCTAAAGAATGGGAATCAAAGAAAACGACTAAGAAAAATTTTAGTGAAAGTTCAATGCCTGAAATGTATCTCAAGTTACCTAAGCAAATTAACGACTTCGACTGTGGACTTTATGTACTACAAAATATTGAAAACTTCCTAATAGTAAGTTTATTTGAAGGTTCAGTTAACTTTTTCTTGTTGACAACTCAAATTCATTCATTTTGTTTATTCTTGATCATTTCCAGAATCCTGATTATCTAATTGAAAGAATTTGCAAAGATCCTGCTATTAATCTTGGTGTTTGGTTTTCTTTTTCATCTGTCTCTTCTATGCGACGTACAATTAAAAGATTGATTGAACGAAAGAGTAAAAACTAAGAAAAAAGTGGTAGATGCAAATGATATTTGACCTCTGGTTCTCTTCTAATCGTTGATATTAACGGTTCTTGTCTTTAAGTTAAGCGAAATCAAAATGACATTGAAATTATATTTGCACTTAAATCAATTGTATCGGTAACTTTTTAAATCACACTATTGTTACCAGATCCACCAACAGTTAACATTATGATCAGATTAGTTTTGGTCAGGTTATTTGGTTGAATAGTTGATATTGAGTTTTTAATCGTCCATGATACATTTATTATTCATTGTCTTCAATTGTAATTTCAAAACTTCATTATGTGAATGAATTGATATCCAAATCAATGAATTCAAACTTCGCGGTGCAAAAATAGTTTTGAAAATTTTTTCATTTCTTTTGTTTGGTTTTCTATTGTTTTTGTCTAATTTTTTAAATATTTAATTAATTACTTAATCCAATTTAATTAAATCAATTTTAAACTTAAATTATGATTATCAACTCTGGCCGAAAGTGAAGTGGATCATTTGTCAATCGATATTTTGAAAGTCGATCAACTTTCATTTCTAAAAAATTAAGAAAATTTTTTTTCGGTTTTCGTTCTTCCTTCTCAACTTGTTTTCCTTTTCTATTTTGAAAATAGTATTTTCTTTTTTCTAAATTGTTCCAAATTCTCATCTTCATATGACAGTTTGATATCTCACATGGAAGCGAATCAAACTTTATCAATTTACAATAACATTGTCTACTTTGGTGTTCATAAATTTTGCTGTGATGAAATTCGTTTAATTTCAGCATTAAATTTTTCCAAGTTTGTCAAGTCCAAGAAAGATCTCGTTTCAACATCACCATTCCACCAATTGATATAAAAAAGGCCTATTTTGACAGTAAAACTGATGAGAATTTGTCAACACTGGTTATTGAAACTGTTCCTGAATCAGGGCGAAAAATACGCGAAACATTGCATCTGAATGAATATCTTAATCAAGATGATAACTCAGGTATTTCTCTTCCCTATAACTTGAAAAATTTGGGTTTTCTGTGCTTTATATTGTTATCATTTATACTAATTTTCATGCTTTTCTCTTTTTTCTTGCTTGAATTAGAAGGATCCCTTCGTTTTGTTGTTCAATTAAACGGAAATGGTGAAGAAATTTACAGAATATTGGAAGAATATTTTGCCATCTTTAATTCTGTAACTTGGAGACTTGAGAGAACCTTATCGATAAGTGTCCATCAATATTTTAATTTCTTAAACAATTATTCTCAGCAATCGACAATAACAACATCCAATCTTGGGACATCTTCTATGCCTGCACAGTCACCTTCAACGAACATTTTAACATCTCAATCAGAGGAAACATCTTCCATGAGTGTAAGAAATCGTAATAGTAACCAGCGTAACTCAAACAACTCAGCATCAAATAGGTAGTTTACTCAAGCTCTATGACTTAATCTATTTGCGATTATGTTAATTCTTTTCTATTTTATTCAGTGATGATGTTCTCCTCAGTTATCCACCTGGAGAAAAAAAAATGTATTTCAATTCGTCAATCTGATCTGTCCTGTTTGGAGGAAGGGCAACAAATAAACGATAGAATCTTAAGTTTCTATCTTAAGTAAGTATTAATATTTATTATCTTTGGAAATTTAATCATAGTCTCTATTCGAATTACTAATGTTTAACATGTTTCTTTTTCTTTTCACAGGTACATCGAGAGAGACCTAACAGCACCAGATATCGCTCAAAGAAGCTACATTTTTAGCTCATCTTTTTATGACAAGCTCGCCCAACGAATGCGAGTGCCGAAAGCTCAAACTCAGGATAACAAATTGTACGAATGAGCTAAATTTTCATGCCTGTTGATTTATTTGAAAATCTCAACAGTAAATCTAGTGGATACTAATTTTTCTGCAGTTATGACCTTTTTTCATCTCATCAACACCAATGTTCTGATATTTAAATTTGCATTTTATTTGCTCTCTGAATTTATCCAGACTTTCTGAAAAATATTACAAAAGAGTCAAGAATTGGACGAAAGATATTAATATATTCGCAAAGGACTTTCTAATTATTCCAATTAATAAATCCAGTCATTGGTTATTGGCAATCATATGTTATCCAAGGAAAGTTCCATTCACGGGCCAGAATTTACCGATAGAAATTGAAAAACATCCGAAAAGGTATTAGATCAATTTCACTAGTTTCATTTGAAATTTATTTCTAATCATTTTGATATTTCGTCTCTCTTTAGACCTCGTATACTATTCTTAGATTCACTTCAAAGTTCTCATGATAAATGTGGATTAGCTGCACCACTACGACACTTTCTAACCAAAGAATGGGAAGTAAAGATATCATCAAGCAAAAACTTCAGTATAAAAGCAATGCCTAATATTTATCTCAAGGTGCCTAAGCAGTACAACGCCTTTGATGGAGGCCTTTATGTGATTACATGTATTGAAAATTTCTTGAGAGTAAGTTAATTTGAAGGTTACATTTAACTTGATAAAACCATTTAAAAGGTTAAGTCAACTTTTTCTTTTCGACAACTCAGATTATTAATAATTCATCTTTTTATCCTTTAATCATTTCCAGAATCCTGATTATTTACTTGACAAAATCTGTTTAGATCCTGCTATTGATCTTGGAGATTGGTTCTCATCTACACTGGTCTCTTCTAAACGACGAACAATTAAAAGATTGATTAAGCAACAGAGAGAAGTAGCTGAGAAAAAGAAGAATGGAGTTCAATGATGAAAACTGATGACGATGGTTGATAACTGATTCTCTCCCAGCTAATTAAATTCCAATTATTCAACGTAAAATTTTCAGTAATTAACCATGGAAAACTCCATGATCAACGTAGTTGAGATAACATCAATTCGGGAAAATATGGAGAGATATAACAATCCAAATCACGAATCCCAATTGTAATTTGCATTTAAACATATAATTTTAAAAAAATTTCACTCTATTTAAAGTGTTAAGCTTAATCTTACCTGAAAATGAAGATATTACCACATAGGTATTTTTGTCCATCTTCATTATCTAATCATCAGCTTTATCTTCATTTTCAGGTAAGATTAAGCTACATTATCAGCTCCCGTTTTTAACTTGCTAAATGCTACGTCCTTTATTTCACATTTTGTTTAGAAATTTCGTACTAGTTGATTAAGATGAATCAATTATCAGTATCATGGTTAATCCAAAATTTAATTATAATCTTGTTATTTAATTGTTACAACAAAAGAAACAATGAAAAGATTGTAATACTGGGTGACAAATAATACCTTGTTTTTTTTAAATACCCTGTAACTTCTTTATCTTTGATTCCAACCTAATAATTTTAGTAACGAATTAAGCACTAGACTTGCAAGTTAGATATCCTTCCTTTCAAAATTATTTTCAATCTACAGGGTGAGTGCCTCAAGGCTCCAAAGGTGGCCAGCGAATAATATTTGATAGTTAAAATCATGAAAAAAACCTGAAATTTAAGCAAATTGAGCACTTAATTAGCTGATAACTCATTTTCTCGGAACTTTAAGTAAAAAATTGAGATCAATAACGATAGATACTTCTATTTAGCGTATTATGACACCCTGAAATAGATTATACACTAAATAGTAATCATCTAATCGCACTTTTTGTTATTTTATGAAACCCTCTGTAACTTTTCGATAGAATGTCCAATTTTCGAAAATTTTATATATAAAAAAACTTCAACTAATTACTGTAAAAATAAGCAGAAAAAAAAGTTATTGTAAGTTAGTATTTAGATTTAAACGCCATACTCAAAAAAACAACATATTATTTGTCACCCAGTAGCTGTTATTGAATAGTTAATGTGTTTGATTCAATTTCTCAGAATTAAAACCCAATTGTCCAGAAACCAATTAAGTTGGCAAGTTAAATTGCTAATCACTATGATGGCAACTTAATTGTTGGTCAAAAATTAACATTCTATTAAAATTATTAATCAATCGAAATTTATTTTAGGTGTCATTTAAAGAAACGGGAAAATGGAAAAGTTTTTTCTCTCATATTCCGTTCATAGATTTTTCAAAGAATCAAAATTCACACAAAAAAATCGATTATTCGATTTTAAGTTTCGCGGGAGAGAAAAGCGAACTGCTTATTGGTTCAGTCACTTAAGTCAAGTGTTTACTTTTTGTTGACAAATTGGAACGAAAAAGTTTTAGATAAAGTTCTGGACCAGAATTTCTGGTTTATAGTGAAAACTTTTTGCTACAATATTTGTATTGTTTAGATCTCTCTATAAGTCTTCATCGTTCTTATCTGTTTTTATTACTTTTGATTGTTTCAAATTCTCTTTTTTGTCTTTGTCAATTTGATGTCTCACATGGACGGTCAACTTTTAACAGTTTACAAGAATTCTGTCTACTTTGGTGTTCATAAATTCACCTGTAAAGAAGTCTGTTTAACCCCTAGAGGAATTAAGTTCATCCAAGTATTAAGACTAGAAGATTTCTCATTTTCCGATGTTGCCATTCCACCAAATGATGTGCAACGAGCTTATTTTGACAGTAAAACTGGTGACAATTTGTCAACCCTGATCACGGAAACTATTCCTGAATCTGGAATTAAGATATGCAAAGCATTACAGATAAAACCTAATCAAGCCCATGAAAACACTCAAGGTAAGTATTTGTCTCTCTCTCTCACTCACTTTGATCATCTTCAAAGGTTGTTACCAAACTTTTTGACTATTTTTTGTACTAATTTTCTACTTTGTGTTCTTTTCTCAATTAATTAGAAGGATCCATTCGTGTTCTTGTTCAATTTAGCGGACAAGGTGAAGAAATTTACAAAATATTGGATGAATATTTTTCGTGCTATACTTTATTGACTTGGAAACTTCAGAAAGTTTTATCGCGAAGTGTCCATAAATACCTTGATTTCTTAAACAATCATTCTCAACAATCATCAACACGAAAAACGAATGTTTCAAGTCCAAATTACGACAATTCAGTGTTTAACATGGAGGTTAATCAAACTTTATCAGTTCACAACGATTCTGTCTACTTTGGTGTTCATAGATTCTCCTGTAAAGAAATTTGTTTAATCTCAGCTGGCATTAAGTTTGTTCGAGTTTCCTCACCAGGAAGACCAGATTTTGTTATGACCATTCCACCCATTGATATACAACGAGCCTATTTCGATAATAGAACCGAATTGTTAACCTTGATCGTAGAAACTGTTCCAAGTTCGAGTTTCAAAATATGCGAAGCATTAAAAATAAAAGCGAATCAATGTGAACTCATGGGTATGCTTCGTTCTGCAACTTTCCATCACTTCTTGTTTAATTCATATTCACTCTATGAATCTAATACACTATTGAATTATAATTTAGCTTTGATAATTTAATCTTTTCTTTTATTTCCCTGTTGATTGTTTCTTGTCCAATTTACAATTAGAAGGAACCATTCGTATCGCAGTACAATTGAAGGGAAAAAGTGAAGAAATGCAGAAAATATTGGAAGAATATTTTGCCATCTTTAATTCTGTCACTTGGAAACTTGACAGAACCTTATCTCTAAGTGTTCATCAATATTTTGATTTCTTAAACAATTATTCTCGACAACCAACAACAACATCATCATCAACCTTTGGATCACCTCTTGCATCTAAAAAAATTCCTGTTCAGATTGGGCTCAAGACCGAATCAATAATATCAAATTTAAATGAAACGACAACTATTACTTGGCGCAAAATAAATAGTGGTGCTGAAAATGCCACTGATCGTAACTTAACGAGCCCGAATAGGTGATTTACTCTAAGCTGCGTTTAATCTACGATGAGTTCTAGAGATCATTCTTGATTATTATTTTAATACATGTAATTTTCTTCATTACTTAGTGACTATCATTCCCCAGCCCGTCAATCAGATCTCGCTTGTTTGGAGGAAGGACAGTCTCTAAATCATACAGTCTTAGATTTCTATCTTAAGTAAGTAATTTCCAATACTGGAAACTTCAATTATTTCAAGCACCAATGTCATCTCTCTCTCTCTCTCTCTCTCTCTCTCTCTCTCTCTCTCTCTCTCTCTCTCTCTCTCTCTCTCTCTCTTGCAGATACATCGAAAAGGACGTGATAGCTCCAAACATTGCCGAAAGAAGTTACATATTTAGTCCATTTTTCTACCATAAGCTCACTCATAGACTTCAAGCAAACGAGGTTGAAACTTTGGACTGTCAAACGTACGTGCAACCTAAATTTTGAGACTGTTGGTCAAGTGATGGTTCTTATCTGCCAATAGTCAACAGTCAATCAGATTATAATTAACTTCAATAACTTTTTCTCGTCTAATCAGAATTGATAATCTTTGAGACTTTGTTTAATTTTATCAATTCTCTTACAAATTTATCCAGGCCTTCTGATAGATACTACAATAGAGTAAAGAATTGGACGAAAGATATTAACATCTTCCAAAAAGACTTTCTAATTATTCCAGTTAACAAAAAGAACTGTCATTGGTGCGTGGTAATCATATGTTATCCAAGAAAAGTTCCATTCGTTGGCTCGATTGAAAGGAAAAGAAAAATGTAATTGTTTAATTACATCAAATTCGTCTGAAATTCATCTCTGATCCTCTTAAAATTTTTCTCTATTTAGACCATGCATGCTGATCATGGATTCACTGCAAGGAAATGAGTGTAGAAAGGGATGTACGTCACCAATCAGGCACTTTCTGATCAAGGAATGGGAATCCATGAAAATGGCAAAGAAAAGTTTTAGTAAAATTTCAATTCCTGATATTTATCTCAAGGTTCCTAAGCAAAACAATGACTTTGACTCTGGACTTTATGTACTACAATATATTGAAAGTTTCTTGAGAGTAAGTTAATATGAAAGTTGAGTTAACTTTTTCTTTTCGACAACTCAAATTAATTCATTTTGTTTATTCGATTATTTCCAGGACCCTGATGATTTACTCGAAAGAATCCACAAAGATACTTCTATTGATCTTAGAGATTGGTTCTCTCAGGCACTGATCTCTTCTAAGCGACGAACACTTGAAAGTTTTATCAAGCGAAAGCGAAAATCAGGCGAGAATAAGAAAAATGAGTGTGAAACGATGGAAACTGATGATAGTTGATAATTGATTTTCTTCTAACTAATTTCGGATCAATTGCACTCGAACAGAGTATCAAAATTTCATCAATCGGGGAAATTTTCATAATTAACTCACTGACAATTTTAGAAAAACCTTTGCACCATTTATATTAACTTTCGTGTGATAATTTCGTACCAATTGATTAAGATGAATTAATCAATGAAGATGGTTAATCGATATCGTAATTTAATTATAATCTTGCTATTTAATTTTTACAGCAAAAGAAACAATGAAAAAGTTAATCTAAGATATTAATCCACCATTAATTAAGAGCTAAACTGCTTACAATTTCTATTAAGTATTCGGTACAAAAGTGATTTACTTTGACACTTTCACATGAACAAAACTGACCTTTTCAACTCAGTGTCTAATTTAAATTCGATACATTTTGTTATTGACGAAATATTGAGATGTTCCGTTCTAACTCTTTATTATTAATAAATTGAATCGATATTTTGAACGTCGATCTCTTCCGATTTTTCTTCTTCAAAAATCGATTAGCTTTTGCTACTCTTTCTTGATTCCAGATCTCTTTCTGTTTCAACTACATTGTATTACAATGTAATTGTTTCTTATTCGTTTTTTTTTCTGTTGTCATCTTAAATGCGAAAACATCATGTCAGATTTTCGTTTAAATTTATCTAGTTACTACAATTCTGTCTACTTTGGTGTTCATGGATTTCTCTGTGATCAATTTTGTTTAATTTCAGAACGTATTCAGTTTTTTCAATTGTCTTCATCAGAAGGATCTCGTTCTAACATCACCATTCCACTAACACATATACATCGAGCTTATTTTGACTATGAAAGTGATGATTATTTTTCAATCCTGGTCTTGGAAATTGTTCCTGAATCTGCAATTATAATTAGAGAAACGCTAAAAATAGACCCGAAACAAAGTGATTACACAGGTAATTAATTGATCTTCTCTGATTTTTCTCTTATTTTCTTATATTTTTTCTGATACTTTGTGCTTCTCAATACTGTAATTAGAAGGAACCATTCTTGTTGGTGTTCGATTATACGATGAAAAGGGAGACCTTGAATTCTTATTTGAAGACAGTTTTTCCTCCTTTGATTCACTAATATGGAGACTTGAGATAACTCCGTGTCGAAGAGTCGAGGAATACTTAGATTTTATTAACAATTATTCTCAACGATCATCATCAACACTGCGGTCGAATGTTTCAAAACCAAAATCAACCAGTTCCATCATTGAAATCGATTGTGATGACCCTGTTGAAAACCAGTGTCGCTTAAAAGGCTCGACATCAACTAAGTGATTATCTTAACTCTAACTTAACTTAGCTTTAAAGCTTATTCTTAATTGTCATTTTTATAATTCTTTTTTCCAGTGATGATCTTCTCTTCAGATATCCACCCGATGGAACTGAACGTATCTCAATTCGCCAATCGGATCTTTCTTGTTTGGACGAAGAACAACATGTAAATGAAACAATCTTAGGTTTCTATCTCAAGTGAGTGCTAATTATCTTTCAATTCTCAATCAAAGCCTCCGTTCGAATCACTAATGTTCATCTTGTTTCTCCTCTTTTCACAGGTACATCGAGAGAAACTTAACAGCATCAGACATCACCCAAAGAAGCTACATATTTAGTGTATTTTTCTATCACAAGCTCACCCAAAGAAAGCGAAAGGCTCAAACTCAGGATAGCAAATTGTACGAGCGAATATCCTTTTGTGTCATCTAATGATTAGCAATTATCTTACACCTTTAATAATTTTCCATGTAATTTTATATTTTCTCTCACAAATCTAAGCAGACTTTATGATCGATGCTACAAAGGAGTGAAAACTTGGACTAAAAATGTCAATATCTTCCATAAAGATTTTATAATCATGCCAATTAACAAATCTGGTCATTGGTTTTTGGTAATCATATGTTATCCAAGAAAAGTGCCATCGATGAATGAGATTCTACCTAATGAAATCGAAAAAAGTCCCAAAAGGTATTGAGATTAGATTGATTTCATAATCTCTTCAATGAGACATTCATATCTAATCCTATTGAAATTTTTTTCTCTCCAGACCTTGTATACTTTTCATGGACTCAGCTCAAATAGTTAATAGCGAGCTTGAATTTTCTGAACCAATAAGACACTTTCTAACTAAAGAATGGGAATACCTTCAAATGTCAAATAAAAACTTCAGTAAAAGTGTAATGCCTGATATTTATCTCAAGGTGCCTAAGCAAATTAACGACTTCGACTCTGGATTTTTTGTATTACAATGTATCGAGAATTTCCTCATAGTAAGTTAATTTGAAGGTTATGTCAACTTTTTCTTGTTTCAAAAAAATCGATTCATTTTGTTTATTCTTGATCATTTCCAGAATCCTGATCATTTACTTGACAAAGTTTCCAAAGACCCGGCTATTAATCTAGAGGATTGGTTCTCTCACAGACTGGTTTCGGCTAAACGACGAACTATTGAAAGATTGATTAAACAACAGCGAAAAGCTGAAGAAATCAAGAAAAATAGTCTTTGCGAAACGGATGATGAAATTTCTCCTTCTTCTTCTAGCTCTTATTCTTCTGCTGATTCCGAAATTTGAAAGAATCTACAAAGATCCTGCTATTAATCTATAAGATTGGTTTTCTTTTTCTCTGGTCTCTTCTAAACGACGAACAATCAAAAATTTGATCGAACGAAAGTGTAAATAATTAGACTAAGGTATTAAATGATAATCGAGATTTAATTGTAAATAAGACCAGAAAATGATGTACATAAACAACTATGCTGTGAATTAATCATGAACCGAAAGGATTTTCAAGAGAAAAAATCAAATTTTCAAAATCCATTTGTTGTTCTATTAAAGTTGTTATTCTTCAATTTAACGAGTTTATTAAATTGACGAGAAAAATTTTTAGAGAAAAGATGAAGAAATTATGGTGCAAAATGCTCCTCTCACAGAAGTTCCGTTCTTAGTTTTTGATGGATCGAAATTCACAAAAAAATCGATCTTTCAAATTTCGCGGGAGAAATTTTTTTTTCCTTTTTAGCTTTTTTTCAATCCTTTTTATTAACAATTCCGTAATTATTTATAATCAATACTTTATAGATTCTAAATTAGAATTGATTTTCAATTTTTCCAAATATGAGCTGAATTTTTTGATATTCAATCTTCAGTCAATCATTTTCTTTTCTTCAACAATCGAGCAATCGTTTCTATTTTTATTCTCGTTCTTCCTTATCAACTTGTTTCTCTTCCAGTTTTACACTGTTGATGTTTCCTTATTCTCTTCTTGTCATCTTGATTGCGACAATTTGATATCTCACATGGAGGTTAATCAAACTTTATCAGTTTTCCACAACACTGTCTACTTTGATGTCCATGAATTTCGCTGTCAAGAAATACGTTTGCTTCCAGCGGGCATTAAGTTTTCCCAAGTGTGTCAAATCCAAGAAAAGTCTTTTTTCAATGTCACCATTCCACCAATTGATATAAAAAAAGCCTATTTTGACAGTAAAACTGGAGACAATTTGTCAACCCTGATCACAGAAACTGTTCCTGAATCTGGGATTCGAATATGTGAAATATTAAAACTTAATCGATCTGCTAATTCAGGTATTTCTCTTATTAATATCACCAAAGTGATATTTTGGTTATTATCTAATTTTGTTCCACCACAGTTTATCTCGGTGAACTGTCACTTCCCACTTGACTTTTGTTTTTTTTTCTATCACAATTAATGTCTCGTATGTTTACGCCCATTTAGCAATTAACTGCTCATTTTTTTGTCTTCCCCTTAATTGTAATACAATTCTCGGGATATAATTTATCTGAAGTGGTTTTAGCTTTTCTTTTGTTTGTGCTATCTTTTATCTCATCGCTTTGTTATACTAATTTTCTACTCTGTTTTTTTTCTTCTCAGTTGAACTAAGAGGATCGATTCGTGTTCTTGTTCAATTTAACGGACAAGGTGAAGAAATTTACAAAATATTGGAAGAATATTTTGCCGTCTTTAGCCAAGTGAATTGGAAACTTGAGAGAGCCCTATCGCGAAGTGTCCATAAATACCTTGATTTCTTGAACAATCATTCTCAACAATCATCAACACGAAAAACGAATGTTTCAAGTACAAATTACGACAATTCAGTTTTTAACATGGAGTCTAATCAAACTTTATCAGTTCACAACAACTTTGTCTACTTTGGTGTTCATAAATTCACCTGTAAAGAGATTCATTTAATCTCAAAAGGTATTAAGTTTGTTCAAGTATCTGCACCAGAAAGACCGAGTTTGGCTATTACCATTTCTCCAATTGATATTCAAAAACTCTATTTTGATAGGAAAACTGGTGAAAATTTGTCAACCCTGATCATAGAAACCGTTCCAAGTTCGAGTTTCAAAATATGCGAAGCATTGAAAATACAACGGAATCAAAGTGATCACATGGGTATGTATCTGTTTCATTATTCTTCGTTATTCAATTCTTATTCACTCTACGAATCTCATAGACTTGATAGTAGATAATAAATACTTAGTTTTAATTGTTCTTTCCCTAAACATATCTAAAGCTACTTACCTTCTTACCACTTTATACGTTTTTTGATTCTAATTGTGACAGAAGGAACCATTCGTGTGGCAGTGCAATTGAACGGAAAGAATGAAGAAATTCGAAATATATTGGAAGAGTATTTCGCCATCTTTAATACTGTCACTTGGAAACTTGATAGAAATCTATCTGTTAGTGCTCATCAATACTTCGATTTATTAAATAACTCTTCTCAACAACCGACAGCAAAATCTTCAACGTCTTCATCCACTTTTAAATCACCTTTTCCTCCTAAATTGGCTAAGAGTAAAAAGAAGACCTCGAATTCGAAAATAGATGAAACGACCTCCATTGTTGTGATGAACAGTGAAGATGAAATTGGAAACTCAAATGCCGCAGTATCAAATTGGTAATTTATTCTAGATCACAATTGAGCGGTGATGAGTTTTGTTAGCTTTTTGGTGATCGCTCTTATTGTGTATTAATAATTTATATAATAATCCTCTCTTTATCTAGTGACGATCGTCTCTTTAGTTATCCACCTATTCCCATTTACGAAGTTGAACATATCTCAATTCGTCAGTCGGATCTCGCTTGTTTGGAGGAAGGGCAACAAATAAATGATGCAATCCTGGGTTTCTATCTTAAGTAAGCCATTGTTATCGTTGAACATTAATCATAGGCTTAATCTTTTACTAATGCTCATCACATTATCTTCGATTCATAGGTATATTGAAAAAGACTTGACATCCCCAGATATCGCCGAAAGATGCTACATTTTCAGTTCATCTTTTTACTACAAGCTCACCCATAAACCTCGATCATCGGAGGTTGGAACGCAGGGCAAAAAATCGTACGTACGATTTAAACTCTTATACTTGTTGACTTACATGTATTTACTGTTGATCGAGTCTTTTCTTTGAAGGTTCGCTATTTTAACGGTAGCTTAAATGATAATTAATTTCAGCAACTCTGTCATTTGTGTTATCGTGCTTAAAAATTGTTCATTCTTCATTTTTCTATCCAATTTTAATCTATCCACTCTCCAATATTTTCAGGCTTTCTGATAGATACTACAATAGAGTAAAGAATTGGACAAAAAATGTGAACATTTTCGAAAAGGACTTTCTAATTATACCAATTCATAAATCCTGTCATTGGTTTCTGGCAATCATTTGTTATCCAAGAAAAGTTCTCTCCTGGACGAAGTTGCATTCAATGAGAAAAGTGCTAAAAGGTATTAGATTTATTTTATTCATCAACAGTTTTGAAATTCATGTCTAATTCAATGATATCTTATCCTGAAATTTCGGATCTTTTTAGGCCTCGTATACTTTTCATGGACTCGACGCAAAGTGCTCATAGTAGATGTGGATTAGCTGCACCATTACGACACTTTCTAGCTAAGGAATGGGAGTCAAAGAAAACGACAAAGAAAAGTTTTAGTAGAAGTGTAATGCCTGATATTTATCTCAAGGTGCCTAAGCAAAACAATGACTTCGACTCAGGTCTCTATGTACTACAATGCATTGAGAATTTCCTAAGAGTAAGTTAATTTTAAAGTTGAATTAACTTTTTCTTGTTTGCAACCTAAATTAATTCATTCATTGTTGATTATTTCCAGAATCCTGATCATTTACTTGACAAAGTTTCCAAAGACCCGGCTATTAATCTAGAGGATTGGTTCTCTCACAGACTGGTTTCGGCTAAACGACGAACTATTGAAAGATTGATTAAACAACAGCGAAAAGCTGAAGAAATCAAGAAAAATAGTCTTTGCGAAACGGATGATGAAATTTCTTCTTCTTCTTCTTCTTCTTCTTCTAGCTCTTATTCTTCTGCTGATTCCGAAATTTGAAAGAATCCACAAAGATCCTGCTATTAATCTATAAGATTGGTTTTCTTTTTCTCTGGTCTCTTCTAAACGACGAACAATCAAAAATTTGATCGAACGAAAGTGTAAATAATTAGACTAAGGTATTAAATGATAATCGAGATTTAATTGTAAATAAGACCAGAAAATGATGTACATAAACAACTATGCTGTGAATTAATCATGAACCGAAAGGATTTTCAAGAGAGAAGAAAATCAAATTTTCAAAAATCCATTTGTTGTTCTATTAAAGTTGTTATTCTTCAATTTAACGAGTTTATTAAATTGACGAGAAAAATTTTTAGAGAAAAGATGAAGAAATTATGGTGCAAAATGCTCCTCTCACAGAAGTTCCGTTCTTAGTTTTTGATGGATCGAAATTCACAAAAAAATCGATCTTTCAAATTTCGCGGGAGAAATTTTTTTTTCCTTTTTAGCTTTTTTTCAATCCTTTTTATTAACAATTCCGTAATTATTTATAATCAATACTTTATAGATTCTAAATTAGAATTGATTTTCAATTTTTCCAAATATGAGCTGAATTTTTTGATATTCAATCTTCAGTCAATCATTTTCTTTTCTTCAACAATCGAGCAATCGTTTCTATTTTTTATTCTCGTTCTTCCTTATCAACTTGTTTCTCTTCCAGTTTTACACTGTTGATGTTTCCTTATTCTCTCTTCTTGTCATCTTGATTGCGACAATTTGATATCTCACATGGAGGTTAATCAAACTTTATCAGTTTTCCACAACACTGTCTACTTTGATGTCCATGAATTTCGCTGTCAAGAAATACGTTTGCTTCCAGCGGGCATTAAGTTTTCCCAAGTGTGTCAAATCCAAGAAAAGTCTTTTTTCAATGTCACCATTCCACCAATTGATATAAAAAAAGCCTATTTTGACAGTAAAACTGGAGACAATTTGTCAACCCTGATCACAGAAACTGTTCCTGAATCTGGGATTCGAATATGTGAAATATTAAAACTTAATCGATCTGCTAATTCAGGTATTTCTCTCTTATTAATATCACCAAAGTGATATTTTGGTTATTATCTAATTTTTGTTCCACCACAGTTTATCTCGGTGAACTGTCACTTCCCACTTGACTTTTGTTTTTTTTTCTATCACAATTAATGTCTCGTATGTTTACGCCCATTTAGCAATTAACTGCTCATTTTTTTGTCTTCCCCTTAATTGTAATACAATTCTCGGGATATAATTTATCTGGAGTGGTTTTAGCTTTTCTTTTGTTTGTGTTCTATCTTTTATCTCATCGCTTTGTTATACTAATTTTCTACTCTGTTTTTTTTTCTTCTCAGTTGAACTAAGAGGATCGATTCGTGTTCTTGTTCAATTTAACGGACAAGGTGAAGAAATTTACAAAATATTGGAAGAATATTTTGCCGTCTTTAGCCAAGTGAATTGGAAACTTGAGAGAGCCCTATCGCGAAGTGTCCATAAATACCTTGATTTCTTGAACAATCATTCTCAACAATCATCAACACGAAAAACGAATGTTTCAAGTCCAAATTACGACAATTCAGTGTTTAACATGGAGGTTAATCAAACTTTATCAGTTCACAACAATTCTGTCTACTTCGGTATTTATAAATTCACCTGTAAAGAGATTCATTTAATCTCAAAAGGTATTAAGTTTGTTCGAGTATCTACACCAGAAAGACCGAGTTTGGCTATTACCATTTCTCCAATTGATATACAAAAACTCTATTTTGATAGGAAAACTGGTGAAAATTTGTCAACCCTGATCATAGAAACCGTTCCAAGTTCGAGTTTCAAAATATGCGAATCATTACAAATAAAACCGAATCAAGGTGATCACATGGGTATGTATCTGTTTCATTATTCTTTGTGAAATTCTTATTCACTCTACGGATCTAATACACTTGATAGAATATAATAGATACTTAGCTTTGATTGTTTTCTTAAATCTATCTAAAGCTACTTACCTTCTTATCAATTTATACGTTTTTTGATTCTAATTGTACCAGAAGGAACCATTCGTGTGGCAGTGCAATTGAACGGAAAGAATGAAGAAATTCGGAATCTATTGGAAGAGTATTTCGCCACCTTTAATACTGTCACTTGGAAACTTGATAGAAATTTATCTGTTAGTGCTCATCAATACTTCGACTTATTGAACAATTCTTCTCAACAACCGACAGCAAAATCATCAACGTCTTCATCCGCTCTTAAATCACCTTTTCCCCCTCAATTGGCTAAGAGTAAAAAGAAGGCTTCGAATTTAAAAATAGATGAAACGACCTCCATTGTTGAGATGAACAGTGAAGATGAAATTGGAAACTCAAATGCCGCAGTATCAAATCGGTAATTTATTCTAGATCACAATTGAGCGGTGATGAGTTTTGTTAGCTTTTTGGTGATCGCTCTTTTTGTGTATTAATAATTTATATAATAATCCTCTCTTTATCTAGTGACGATCGTCTCTTCAGTTATCCACCTATTCCCATTTACGAAGTTGAACATATCTCAATTCGTCAGTCGGATCTCGCTTGTTTGGAGGAAGGGCAACAAATAAATGATGCAATCCTGGGTTTCTATCTTAAGTAAGCCATTGTTATCGTTGAACATTAATCATAGGCTTAATCTTTTACTAATGCTCATCACATTATCTTCGATTCATAGGTATATTGAAAAAGACTTGACATCCCCAGATATCGCCGAAAGATGCTACATTTTCAGTTCATCTTTTACTACAATCTCACCCATAAACCTCGATCATCGGAGGTTGGAACGCAGGGCAAAAATCGTACGTACGATTTAAACTCTTATACTTGTTGACTTACATGTATTTACTGTTGATCGAGTCTTTTCTTTGAAGGTTCGCTATTTTAACGGTAGCTTAAATGATAATTAATTTCAGCAACTCTGTCATTTGTGTTATCGTGCTTAAAAATTGTTCATTCTTCATTTTTCTATCCAATTTTAATCTATCCACTCTCCAATATTTTCAGGCTTTCTGATAGATACTACAATAGAGTAAAGAATTGGACAAAAAATGTGAACATTTTCGAAAAGGACTTTCTAATTATACCAATTCATAAATCCTGTCATTGGTTTCTGGCAATCATTTGTTATCCAAGAAAAGTTCCTCTCCTGGACGAAGTTGCATTCAATGAGAAAAGTGCTAAAAGGTATTAGATTTATTTTATTCATCAACAGTTTTGAAATTCATGTCTAATTCAATGATATCTTATCCTGAAATTTCGGATCTTTTTAGGCCTCGTATACTTTTCATGGACTCGACGCAAAGTGCTCATAGTAGATGTGGATTAGCTGCACCATTACGACACTTTCTAGCTAAGGAATGGGAGTCAAAGAAAACGACAAAGAAAAGTTTTAGTAGAAGTGTAATGCCTGATATTTATCTCAAGGTGCCTAAGCAAAACAATGACTTCGACTCAGGTCTCTATGTACTACAATGCATTGAGAATTTCCTAAGAGTAAGTTAATTTTAAAGTTGAATTAACTTTTTCTTGTTTGCAACCTAAATTAATTCATTCATTGTTGATTATTTCCAGAATCCTGATCATTTACTTGACAAAGTTTCCAAAGACCCGGCTATTAATCTAGAGGATTGGTTCTCTCACAGACTGGTTTCGGCTAAACGACGAACTATTGAAAGATTGATTAAACAACAGCGAAAAGCTGAAGAAATCAAGAAAAATAGTCTTTGCGAAACGGATGATGAAATTTCTTCTTCTTCTTCTTCTTCTTCTTCTAGCTCTTATTCTTCTGCTGATTCCGAAATTTCTATTTACTAATTCTTTATGAATCAACTGCACCTAAATGAGTACATCAAAATTCCAGAGATTCTTTCATGACCATTTCTTTCATTTATATACTCTGTTTATCATGAATTTCCAAAACTCTTCCCAAACGAAAGGGGAATAATACATATTCAATCGTCAATCAGTTAACATCATAATATTGTTATAATCTCGTTAACCAATAGTTGTTACTGTAAACGAAACTATCTTAAAATTATCTTCGTTATTGACAAGTTTATTTGTTTGATTCAATTGCTTTGAGTGTAAATCCACCCGTTCAGAATCCTCAGCCAGTGAGTAGTTGAATATTTTCAATGGCTGTAAGTCAATGACTGTGATAGCAACCATATTGTTGATCAAAAATTAAAATTCAACTAAATTTGTTACTGATTAATCAATCGTGATCTATTTTTATACGCCAATCCAACGCTGGAGATAATGTTTAAAGCAGAAGTTGAAGAGAGTATGAATGTTCGACCTTTAAACTGATCTTTTTTGGAAAATCAAACTAACCGCTAATTATTTGCAGGATTAATCACCCTTACGTTACACTCTTTAATCACTTCTGCAGGCTCAACTTTCATCAATGAGTTGGATTTTTTTGGAACTCGTTCTTCCCTCTCAACTTGTTTTCCTTGAGATTTTCTTGTAGAAAATTGCTTCTTTGTGTTGTTTCAAACAGTCATTCTTATAAGACATTGTCTTAAAGACGATTTGAAGTCTAATGTCTGTTTTTCCAAATTTGTCGATTTACAATAACATCGTCTACTTCGGTATTCATAAGTTTTGCTGTGATGAAATTCGTTTAATTTCAGCAGGCTTTAAGTTTTCCCAAGTTGGCCGATTACAAGAAAGATCTCGTTTCGACATCACCATTCCACCAATTGAAATACAAAAGGCCTATTTGGACAGTAAAACCGGTGAAAATTTGTCAACCCTGATAATTGACACCGTTCCTCAATCTGGAACTAAAATAAGGAGCGCATTGAAAATAAGACCCAATCAAGACGATAGCTCAGGTATTTCTCTTACCTTTAACTTTAATGATAAAGAGCTTTTTTTTAATATCACCATTGTTTCTTTGTTTCAAATTCTTTCTCTTGTTTGCTTTTATTTTCTCTAATTTTGTGATTGTGATTTTCTTTTCAATTCAACCAGGAGGACCCATTCGTGTTCTTTTTCAATTTAGCGGACAAGGTGAAGAAATTTACAAAATATTGGATGAATATTTTTCGTGCTATACTTCATTGACTTGGAAATTTGAGAAAGTTTTATCTCGAAGTGTCCATAAATACCTTGATTTCTTAAACAATCATTCTCAACAATCATCAACACGAAAAACGAATGTTTCAAGTCCAAATTACGACAATTCAGTGTTTAACATGGAGATTAATCAAACTTTATCAGTTCACAACAATTCTGTCTACTTCGGCATTTATAAATTCACCTGTAAAGAGATTCATTTAATCTCAAAAGGTATTAAGTTTGTTCAAGTATCTGCACCAGAAAGACCGAGTTTGGCTATTACCATTCCACCCATTGATATACAAAGAGCCTATTTCGATAGAACAGAATTTTTAACCCTGATCATAGAAACCGTTCCAAGTTCGAGTTTCAAAATATGCGAAGCCTTACAAATACAACGGAATCAAGGTATGTATCTATTTCATTATTCTTTGTTCAATTCTTATTCACTTTAGCAACTCATACACATAGAATATAAGAAATACAAATATTCTTACCAATTTTGGTTCTAATTGTGACAGAAGGAACCATTCGTGTGGCAGTGCAATTGAACGGAAAGAATGAAGAAATTCGAAATATATTGGAAGAGTATTTCGCCATCTTTAATACTGTCACTTGGAAACTTGATAGAAATCTATCTGTTAGTGCTCATCAATACTTCGATTTATTAAATAACTCTTCTCAACAACCGACAGCAACATCATCCACGTCTTCATCCACTTTTAAATCACCTTTTCCTCCTAAATTGGCTAAGAGTAAAAAGAAGACCTCGAATTCGAAAATAGATGAAACGACCTCCATTGTTGAGATGAACAGTGAAGATGAAATTGGAAACTCAAATGCCGCAGTATCAAATTGGTAATTTATTCTAGATCACAATTGAGCGGTGATGAGTTTTGTTAGCTTTTTGGTGATCGCTCTTATTGTGTATTAATAATTTATATAATAATCCTCTCTTTATCTAGTGACGATCGTCTCTTTAGTTATCCACCTATTCCCATTTACGAAGTTGAACATATCTCAATTCGTCAGTCGGATCTCGCTTGTTTGGAGGAAGGGCAACAAATAAATGATGCAATCCTGGGTTTCTATCTTAAGTAAGCCATTTTTATCGTTGAACATTAATCATAGGCTTAATCTTTTACTAATACTCATCACATTATCTTCGATTCATAGGTATATTGAAAAAGACTTGACATCCCCAGATATCGCCGAAAGATGCTACATTTTCAGTTCATCTTTTTACTACAATCTCACCCATAAACCTCAAATATCAGAGGTTAGAACCCAGGGTGCAAAAACGTACGTACGAGTTGAATTCTCATTCCTGATGACTTATGTACTGTTGATCGAGCTTTTTCTTCGAAGGTTCTCTTTTTCAACTGTAATAAGTCAACAGTGAATAAAATGATAATCAGTTTTAGTAACTCGATCCTTTTGGTTTCAGGCTTTCTGATAGTTACTACAATAGAGTAAAGAATTGGACAAAAAATGTGAACATTTTCGAAAAGGACTTTCTAATTATACCAATTCATAAATCCTTTCATTGGTTTCTGGCAATCATTTGTTATCCAAGAAAAGTTCCTCTCCTGGACGAAGTTGCATTCAATGAGAAAAGTGCTAAAAAGTATTAGATTTATTTTATTCATCATCAGTTTTGAAACTCATTACTTTATATCTCTTTCTCTAGACCTCGAATACTTTTCTTAGATTCACTTCAAAGTGCTCATCATAAATGTGGATTAGCTGCACCATTACGACACTTTCTAGCTAAGGAATGGGAGTCAGAGAAAACGACGAAGAAAAATTTTAGTAGAAGGGTAATGCCTGATATTTATCTCAAGGTGCCTAAACAAACAAATCACTTCGACTCAGGTCTCTATGTACTACAATCTATTGAGAATTTCCTAAGAGTAAGTTAATTTGTTAATTCTTTCGAGTTAACTTTTTATTGTTGCTGACATAAATTAATTCGTATCATTCGTTGATCATTTTCAGAATCCTGAACAGCTACTTGAAAGAATTTACAAAGACCCGGCTATTAATCTAGAGGATTGGTTCTCTCACAAACTGGTTTCGGCTAAACGACGAACAATCGAAAGATTGATCAAACAACAGCGAAAAGCTGAAGAAATCAAGAAAAAAAGTCTTTGCGAAATTGATAATTGCAGTTCTTCTTCTTCTTCTTCTTCTTCTTCTTCTTCCTCTTCTTCTGATACTGATTAACTTCTACTTACTAATTCTTGAAAACATTCAATTGTGATCAGAGTGTTTTTTTATCCATAAAGTTATCATCTTATAATGAACTTTTCATTATTTTAACTTTAAAGTTTTGTGATTGTCCAACTTTTTAATAAACGAAAAAGTTTCAAATCTTATCAATCAAACAATCTTCATGTAAAAAAGAGGCGATGTATCTTCATTTAAGAATCACAACCGAGGTAAAGAACCAAGAATCATCCAGTCCAACTCGTAACTCATATGTATCTGATTGAATAGTTGATGTTTTAGCTGTCAATTGTTAATTATTTCATTCCTATTATCAGTTGTTGGTATTGATAAAGGTGAATTAGGATCATTGTAACCACCCGGTTTAAGAGGGATCCTCGAAGGAAGACCAAAGGTTTCACCCTAATTCTTATTGAATCTGGCGATCCATCACCCGATTAACCTTTAAATGGTTATGAGGATGAGCTTGTTTTAAATATCTTTGGTGTAATGGTTACGGTGATGTGATTGTTTGGGCTTTTATTGGTCCATTACTCTTTATCTATTTCTGTACGTAATAAATCACGAATTTCTATTGATGTTAATCTATCTTTGGCTATATGATTACCTGATGTTGCTGCACCGAGAGATGAAGACGGCAGGATGATATTCAAATGATTCCAATGATTTTAATCAATAATCAATCGTTTCCTCTACAGTTTTTCATTTGGACTAGAATTCTGATTTTCTTTTGAACCACTTTCATCGTAGTGGTATTGGAAACATCTTTTGCCCGTTAATGGATCGATTATGTGCCCACATTTATAGACCACTTGTTCAACAGAATGTTCGACCTTTAAACTGATCCTCTCTGGTAATTTAGAGACAAGCACCCAATCGCCAACCTTTGACTCTCCTTTTTTATCCAACGCATGTAATTCACTTGAATCTCTGAAATGAGTAACAAGAAATGAATCGAACTTCAATTGAGGAATAGCAACACGAACAATATTCTTGCCCACAGCTTCGCACACCTTTCCCATCAAAAGAGACATTTCTGTAAAAATGAAGAAACAAACAAAACAAAACCAATAATTAAACAATTAAAACGAAAGAAAATCAAATTAAATTGTCAACATGAACTCAGAAAAACAAACAGCAACCGTAACCATGACAACAAGTTGGGTGAACATTAAGCGCTCATTTCAAAAGAGTAAAAGGTTAACAATCAATTGATTTAATCAGTTTGATTGTTTTCACTTTTTAGAAATTAAATTTGATTAGTAAATCATTTTAATAAAGATAAATTAATTAATGTTACAGATTATCTGTTAATAGAGTAAAAAAAGTATCGGAATGATTAAATATTTATCAATCAAATTTCTTTAGTGTTTTGCCTTTTGATTAAATTTGGGAAAACAAATGAGAATCAATTGTTGACGTAATTAATCAACAATTAACTGTGAAAATCATAGCAAAAATTAATGAATAAAAATCAATCCCTATAATAGTCTTTGTTTCAAAAGGTAAAAAAATAATTAAAAATGAATTGAATTGGAAAAGTTTAATTTTTTACTCAATGTAAAGGCTAATTGGCTAAACTCATCGAGAACTTGACCAAATGAATTGAGAACTTCCGAAAGTCAATGAAAACTCATCGTGAAAAATGTGCCATCTATTGGATTGACTAAACCAAATGAGAACTCGATTAATTAGTTCTCGAACTAGAACTCGGCGAAAGTCACTGAGAAATGCTGTAATATAATAGTGATTTTAGACCGTGAAAGTTGTTGGGCGATTATTTTTGGTGAAGTGGATTAGATTGGTTAATTAATTGCGATCGGATTGATTTTCGAATGTTTATTTAAAATGATAATTGCTACAGTTGAAGTAATAGTTACTGTTGTCTTCTTAGCCAATGAGAATCATGTTCTAACAATATAACTCGAATGTCCAAATATGATTGGTTCTTTTTTCGCGCATCACCATTTTCATCGAATAATAATATTCTATTGAAGTAATAACAATGATAGAGTATATGATATTATTTCGAGAGTAAATATCTCTCTCTCTCTCTCTCTCTCTCTCTCTCTCTCTCTCTCTCTCTCTCGCTATTGCCACTATTACTTTCTCTAGTATTCTCATAGATGAAAATAAGTTTCGATCAAACAAAATTTGTGTATTCCATTCAATATTTATCTCTTATAGTTACTTGCAAATGTCCCGTCGAAGTGAAAACATTTAATTGTGATTAAAGTGTTTTTTCATCCATATAGTTATCATCTTATGATTAAATTTGCTTTATTTTAACTTTTAAGTTTTGTGATTATCAAAATTTTTTAATATACGAAAAAGTTTCAAATCTAAGTAATTTTCAGCTTTCAAATCTGTAACAGTTATCAATTTGAATAATGGATAGTTCATCACCCACAAGTCCAGTTCAACGGCAAGTCCATCGGCTTTGTTGCTTAGATCTGCCGCTGAAAGATATCAACGTACACCTAAATGTGCTCGATGTCGAAACCATGGAGTTGTCTCAGCTTTAAAGGTAAGAATAGTTTATTTTATCGAGTGAGCTAAAAAAGAGACAAATCCTAATTCGTGAAATGATTTCTATCCAAGGGACACAAACGTTATTGTCGATGGAAAGATTGTTCTTGTGCAAAATGTACTCTTATTGCTGAACGTCAGCGAGTTATGGCCGCTCAGGTTGCTCTTCGACGGCAACAGGCCCAAGAAGAAAACGAAGCTCGAGAATTATCAATGCTGTATGGCTGCCACGAAGGTATAATGGCCATGCACCGAGCGGGACTAACATTTTCCGCCGCAATGGCCCAGATCATCCAAGTACCAGTGAGTTTAAACACAAAAGAAAAAGAAACCGACCAGAGAAACTCATCTAATCATCCTAATAACAATTACTCTCTCTCTCTCTTTAGGCAAATAATAGTAAATCAAATGGCGATGAAGAAAATCAGAATGAATCATCAAATGGAACCAAAGTGAATCGTAAAGAAAAGAAGTCTTCATGTAAAAAAGAGCCCATGGATCTTCATGTAAGAAACACAACCGGAGTAAAGAGCCAAGAACCATCTAGTCCAACTCATAACAATACACCAGGTAAGAGACACAGTATTAATCTAATTCAATTCAAAAGTCAAACTTAATCCCACGAGTATTTAAAATCAATGACTACAATTAAAACCCAATACAGATTAACACAAAGTTATCAGCATAAAATATTAATAATCCATTAAGAAAATATATCTCAAGCTTATCGCTATCATTTAATACAAACACAAGCTCTTTGATCATTAATTGTTAATGAAAAGTTGATTAATCTTCCTGTCAGTTGAATATTTTATTTACTTTATTTTAGAAAACCTTTTTCATCATCACAGAATTCAAATATTCCAAGAAGATATTAAAAAAAACGATAGAATCTTGTTTCCACTCAATAGTAGAAGAGAAAAAAAGTTAATCAACTTTATTCATAAATTGTTTCGAAAATGTAATTCATCTAACTCGATGCTAATCTGTATCCAAACATTAGATATCATTATGAAAGCATTTACCATAATCACATCAAGATTTTCATTGAGATAAATGTATTTGCTTTTGAAAACCATCACTAATCTCATTTGATATTATCTATCAACTATTGGATAACTTTTTTAGTTTTCCCTTTCCACTTCCCTAACCGTTTAAGCGCCTGTGGTCATATTATGTGCCAATGTTAATAACAGATTATCATAGAAAGTCATTTACATATTATCATAGTGATGATAAAATGATTCACTCTCTCTGAAAGTGTAACCATTCAATTTAACTTTGCCAATGTCAACCATAGCTAAATTGTTGAGCTGGTTCTCAAATTAATGATACAATATGATTAATATTATTAAAATCGTGTTGATGTTGTTACTTGAAAATAATTCAATTGGTAAAACTGTTGATACAAATTTACCATATAAATAATATGTAAGGTCGAACTTTTTTTCTACTCTACTTATTCTCATCATTTCCTTTTCCTCTTTACCATCATCAGCACATAGTTCCATGTATAATATATCATCTCGATTTCTCAACTGTATTTGACATGAATCACATTACGAACTTACAAAAATTCTCGACACTCAGAACTCGAAGGAAGTTTTCTTTTTGTTGTAACATTTTCAAGTATCATTCGAAGTTGATAATAATAACTACACATAAGAGACTTGATTTTGTCACATTTTCCTTTCAGATAAGAGGTTGATATTATTTTCTGTCGATTCGTTTTCATTTATATTATTGTCATCAAGTTTTTTTTTTCTCTCTCACTCTTTCATCATCATCATCATTATTATTGTTGTTATTACTTTCGATGGCTTTTCAACTGTTCTCCTATTGATTGAATTTAGACCTGAAATTGTACACAAACAAAGTGTCCAATCATTAAACCATTCGGACAATTTGAAACAAAATTAATTCTCATGTCCTATTGTCCGATTTTCTTGATTCCCATCAAGTATAAAAGGGTCATTGATTATGATAGTGGTCAAAAGGTTTCACTTTAACTTGACCACTACTTGTAATCAATACATCTTAAGACAACAATCAAAGCAAAATCTTGTACAAACATCGGTTTCATGGTCAATTAATTGATTCACTTTAATTAGCTATATAGTCAATATTTTCCAGTAAATAAATAACTTTTCGGCCATTGGTCACTTTGTTTATAAATTTTTTTCTCAATCAGCACACAAAATTTGAATATTTAAACGAGATAATCAAAGGTGTGTCAATGATACTTTTAAATAACATCAACAACTAAAGTGAAAACATTAACACAATTTGCATGAGATGAAAATAAACTTCAACAACAATTTAAATACAATATTTGTTATCCTCATCAATTGAATATAATAATAATAAATACTTGATGTAGTCGTTTTGTCCTTGCAATTGTAATAATAAATGACAATAAGAGTATTTTTTGTATCCATATGTAATATAAAGTCCAAGATATAAGGAAACGGAAGTGATTGTTTTGTTTTGCAGCAAAAGAAAACAGTAGTAAGCTAATAGAAAAGCTCTTGACCTTTTCCATAGGTAAATTGTATTATCAAAGTCAACGGAAACTTTGAATTTACCTTTTTTCTTTACAATCTATTATATGTCAATGAATGACAACAATCAGAAAATTAAGGATATTTAAAAATGTATCCATAAGATCAATTGATAACTATGGGTGAATACAATGTCCAACGATTATCGCATTTACCTTTAGTTGATTAAGTTAATCAAGTAACCAAAAAGTTAAGCTGTTTAAATCTACATGATATGTGATCATGATCATTATGATAATCATCTTCATTATAACTCTGTCAAATTACTATCAGTTGAATTAATCGTAGTAAAAGGATGAGAAATGTTGAAATTAACAATTTAACCTAATTGACTTATTCTTGTGAGTTCATAAATTTTTCTATGACAATTTACCTTTCATACTAATCAATGATATACTCTAATAACTTACAATGAATACCCTCGTCTATCCAAGTACAATATTCAGCATTTTACTATAGTAACTATTTGTGCCCATACAAATACACATAATAATGAATACAATGTGTTATCTTGTGCAAGATGAGAAGATGATGATTAGGATGATGAGGACGAAAGGTAAAGAAAGAGAAAAATAAAGAAATGATTAAAAGAACCGTAAGTGTATTCCAACTACTTGAATGAACTTAAAGCTTACCTTTTTTTTTATCTTCTTTATCTTCCTAACCTCTTCCCCTTGTCTCCTTTTACCTGTTAATAGTATTAGTGAGATTCCCGGATGAGATTGGGTTGATTTAATTTGTGTCTCTTCATTGTTAACAATTTAACTCCCTAATTGAGCTTTAAACCAACCAATTGATAATGTGATCTAAATGCTAATAATAATATCTTTGTTAAACTGACGATGAAGATGCTGATGATGATGATAATGATGATTATAATACTATCAGTTGTATATGTAGTTTGCTTTTTATCTTCATGCATAAAAAATACATTGTCATGTCTTTTGTCATCTTTACTATTATCATGTTATCATTGTTAATATTCAAGGCTCTAAAATACAGTTGCTAAACATTTGCAGGGCTCACACAAGTAGACACATTTATCATCAATCTAATAATAGCATTAAAAATCAATGGTAATTTTGTATATATACTTATGAGGTTAGGCCTGCAGAAGAAAAAATCACCACGACTGTACCTTCATCACTCCTACTTTTCAATCTATTATTATCATTATTAGTTTGTCAAATCAAGA